CAATATGTAATACAATAAGCATTGTTAATTCCCTACCATTCTGTTTGTAACTCTGTAATGTCTGTACTGATCCTTTGCTATTTTGTAAAACGTTGTCGATCTGTTAGTATTTTCCTCCTTTTATTTCTAAAAAAAAAAAAAAAAAAAAAGAGAACACGAGGATGCACACAAACTTAACAGAAAATACCATAAACTCAGGCCAGACATTGCGACTCACTGCTCAGAGAGGTTAGACAAGTTATTTCAACTCAGTGGAGCGCAAGAGACCTCATCTGTAAGCAGTACCCAACAAACAAAAGACTTACGAAGACTTACTAAGGTAGCTCATGTGAAAAACCCTCAAACTGGACATCCCACATGGAGAAGGTTCAATAAATGCTCAGTATTTTTTAAGAGGCGGCACTGACAGGACTTGGTCATTAGTTGAGAAAGAAATGTCCGGGGAGAGTTTGGTAATCTTGTCTACATTGGTACAGGACGCTTAACGATCCAAATGAATAGTACAGTTTTTAAGTAAAAGTTCTGTTGCAAATTCACAAAATCCTGCTACCAGAAGGACCCTGGTAATTTGATTATTGCCTCTTCCAAGTTTTCGGGAATATCACATTTTTTTGAATCCTATTTTTACATTTCTTGGTCACTTTAACAGTAAGGAAAAGGGTAAGTGAGTAGATCGTGTTAAAGACTGCCATACTGTGCAGAAGCTTTCTATTTGGGAATTGTAACACTTTTTTTTTTAATAAGAAAACTTTCTGGAAGGCAGTATTCCAAAAGGTTCCAATTAAAAACATTCTTAAACTGTATTTTGGGGGTAACACTTTAACTGAAAATTTGTGACATAAAGACTATCTTTAACACGCTTAATTGTTTCATTTAAAATTTTAGCTCCCTCCCTCCCGCCTTCCTTTTTGTAGGGGTGAGGATTAAACTCAGAGCCTTGCACATGTTAGGCAAGCACTCTAACCATTGAACTATATCTTCCGCCCTTTAACGCTTTTTTATTTTGAGACAAGATCTCATTAAGCTGCCAACAAAGGGTGGCCTTGAACTTCGGGTCCTCCTGGCTCTTGCTGCTTGAGCAGCTGGGATTCCAAGCCCCCAGGTCCCACTGCCGCATGCTGCTCTCAAAGCATTGATTTCACAATACTGCAAGTGAACCATGGCATCCATAATAACAATATCTGGTATTATGATGTGCTGAGCACTGTAAAGTACTTTATATGTATTAACATTTTTTGAGATTGTAAAAGAAAATATAAAATACTGCCCCCAAGAATGATGCCAAAAGAAAAAATAAATAAACTAGACTTCACTGAATTAAAAACTTCTGTGCTTCAAAGAGACCATTAAGAAAGTAAAAGATCCACAAAATGAGATTTACAAATTGCGTAACTGATAAGGGGCTGATCATATCAAGCATACAGAAAGAACTCTTATAAGTCAATAATAATGAGGTAAATAATCCCATATAAAAATGGACATACGATTTGAATTTCTCAAAAAAAAAAAAAAAGACACAATGGGCGAAGACACATGAAAAGATGCTCAACATCACTAACTACTTGGGAAATGCGATCAAAACTACAAGAGTAAGAGTATTTCACACCTACCAGGGTAAATACGGCTGAAAAAAGCAGATAATAAGTACCAGTGAGGATGTGGAAAAATTAGAACCAGTATCCAGGGCCAGTGGAAACATAAAAAGGTACGGCCAGAGGTGGAAAACAGCCTGGCCTTGGTGGCTGAAGTCAGACTTGGGATACGACCCAGAGAGTCTCCAGGTTTCTACCCAACAGAAATGGAAACATCCACACCAGAAGCTGCACACAAACATTCATACAAACATTATTCAGGAATAAACCTTGAAAACTGTAACAATGAGAGAAGCAGACGTAAAAATCACATATTTGAACTGGGGAATTGGCTCAGGGCTGGAGGGCTTGCCTCCCATGCCCTGGATGCAACCCTCAGTGTGTGTGTGCTGGGGGAGCGGGGGCGTGACACCCACACTTTCACATGAAACGTCCATGGCAGGCAGATCCACAGACACAGAACGGATTAGTGGCTGCCTGCAGTGTGCAGACCTGGGGGAATGAGGACGTGATGTTAACGGGTACCGAGCACTTCTCGTGGTGACAGGAATGCCTCAAGCTGACTATGGCGATGGTTGCCCAAGACGGTGAGTACACGAAAAATCACTGAACTGTGTGCTTTAAGTGAGTGAACGGTGTGGTACGTGCCAATCTCACCGCTTTCCACACGAGCACCTCCTTTCGAGCTCAGAGGGAGACTGCCACTGGGCTACATAAAAAGCTACAGCCAAAATGTAAACCAATTCCAGCACCACCTTATTTACCAACAACGAAACATTTTTCCTCTTTTGGTATTTTTTAACAGTTTAAAAACGCAAAAACCATTCTTAGATGGAGGCCAGACATAAACAAGGTGGTCTGAACCCGGACCGTGTGCGGATTTACGCCATCCCCGCTGCAGTTGCACATTCTACACAGTAATGTCATATGAACACATGTATGGAGATTTATTTCTTAATGAATTATCTTCCAAAAATATGTCAAGTTTATTACTTACTTTTAACTTTTCTCTTAAATCTTCCTTTTCTGTCATAACTCTTCTTAAGTCCGACAAGGCAAGCTCCTTCTCCTTTTCCATAAGGCTAACCAGACTACTGGGGACGGTGGGGTGCGCGGGTGCCTGTCGTAGCGCACATAATTCTTCCTGAGCCTTAAGGAATTAAGATGTAACTAAAAACATTACGGATAAGCTCCCTGTTTTAAAAAAAAGCACACTGAACACATGGCATCTCTACTGTCTTCCCAAGTGCCAAAAACGCGAGTAGAAGGATTAAAATTAAATAGTAACACCAAAAGGACAAGGAGATTGCGAGGTGGCAGTCACAGAATGCTGCAAACCAGATGGCAGACAGACAAGTAGGAATTAACTACGCAGACTCACAAAAGCTCAGATCTACGCCAACTATGGGGAAAGCCCAGAACCGGATCAACCTGTAGTCAAATTCTGCAAGAGCTCAAAAAACGGAAATGGTTCTGTTATCTTGACCTTTTAACTTGTACGTCTTTCCCCGTCAGTGCAGCACTAGCACTGCATGCAGACGGGCCCGAGAACAAATTTAGGGGACAGACTAGGCTTTGCGCAGACTCGCGGTGCCCTCCGACAATGGAGGCTGTGTAACGAGGCCGGGCTGAACCAAATCCCTCCTCCCTAGGGAAGTTTCTTGTCCCTAGAGGGTAAGCCCTTCACAGCTGCCATTCCAAACGGCGGCTGCTCCCCGAGGCTGTCGCTGGGATTTGGGCATATTGGGGCATGTCTAGGTCAGGGATAAACTTGGCTCGGAGTCAAGTACTTACAGAAGGAGATGACTATCTGTAATTGACCTAAAACGTACATAGGCTAGAAAAGATGAAAAGTAAATACGGAAAAAAAAAGAGAAATTTCTGCTTTGGGAATCAGACAACAGAAACTTCTACCACTTATAATTATGAAGGAACATTACAAAGTCCATACATTACAGAAATCTGCAGGATCTATACTGGCTCCATTATAGTTACGTATCTGGTTCTACCTAATCTATTGAGTTAATTATGAAGAAAATTCTTACTTCATTATATAAGACACTTAGTTTATCTCTTTCTGCTGTCAATAATTTAACATTGCACTGTATATCTTCCATGTACTTCTCAAATCTTTCTAGCATACGCTGAAGTTCATCTCTTTCTCTTGTGACCAGATGAATTTCTGAATTGTAATCCCCCTGAAACATAATTAAGAGACAAGTTACCATCTGTCATAATTACCATATGGTTGTCATGAAGACACTGGTGATGAGACTGAAGGAAAGATACCAATGAACAAAAAGAACAGACTTTATAATGTGATTAAGCAGACGAAGGCCCTGGCAACCCTGGGGTAAATTTCCTGGATTTCAGGTTCCCAGGAAGGGACTCAGCCACCCAACACACTGCTTGACCAGATTCCAGCGGATGTGCTGACAGTCACTCTGGAGCTGTTCATACTGGTGGTACTTAAAGTGTAAGCTCTAGAACACAAGCATCAGCAACATCTAGGAACTTCTTATACATACAGATTTGAATGTAGTGACTTAGAAACTTTGAGGGAAGGGTCCAGTAACGGTCTTACCAAGCCTTCCACGTGATTCTGGTACTGATAGCTTCTGCAAATCACTAGTTTAGCATCCTTTCCAGGGAAGGGACCAGGAGAGCATGGATGTGCCTTTTACCCAGTGTATAAACAGCACAGCACACCCTCGATGTTTTCCATGACTGCGTATCAAGATGATAGGAGGTATATTTCTGCAGTCAGATAAATGTAAGTATTTCTGCTCGGCACTATATATTTAAGGATGTTCACTAAGTATTCCTAATGTTTCTAGAACAGGTATATACCTACTATTCTAGGACAATTTAAACGATCCACATATTTGCTATTGTATAAAATAAAAATAGTAAATTTATAATATTCCAATATTAAAGCACTAAACGTAAAGGGCCCACATAGGGACAATGTGATAATCTCACACACTGGGAAGAGTTCCAGCCTTTATTACTCAGTATTGCTGCGTATACATCACGCTAGTGTAGACTTGGTGAGATATACTGTCTACTGGGAAACAAGGTATCCTTGTGACTGAACAGGCCACACTCAGGCCACAATGGATGAAATCAGCTGTACAGACCCCGAAAAGGACAAGATGTTTTACAGGAGAAAGCAGATTAGGATTTCAGGATTTAGGGCTTAATACCATAAAAGAAAACCTGTAACTTGACGGTGTCTAAATAAGGAACTCTTACAGAAAGGAAGCAGTTTGTATGGATTCTAGAGAGGAAAGCTCAATGAATAAAGATTTAGCAGTCCATTTTCATTACTATTTAGGTTTCAGTTTAAACGTCATTTTCTGCAAAAAATCTGTGCAGATTCTCCAATCTAATTTACATCTTCTAAGGCCAGGTGTGGTGGTGCATGCCTGGAACCCCAGCACTTGGGAGACTAAGGCAGGAAGGTCATTGCGAGTTCAAGGCCAGCCTGGGCTACAAAATGAGCAAGGCCAGCCTGAACTGCACAGCAAGACCGTCTCAAAAAGACAAAAAAACAAAACAAAACAAAACAGAGTTTTTGTTTAAGTGGGTCAGCTAATGAATGTTCAGGGAACTGGCAGTTTACTAGGCACTGACCATATAGTGAACTTTAAAACATGTAGTCAACTTTTAAATCTCATTTAAACTCTTCATTCTTCTCTAAATGTATCTCGCCTGTGATATTTATATCAGTGTTAATGAGTAAGACTTACCTCCCCTTCACCACTCCATTATTCCTAACACTCAGCACGAGCATACACACACACAGCGCTGAAAGCAACAGGACAGAACGACCTTCTGTCTTTAATAGTGCACAACTTACAGCACTCAGTGTTAGACCTGACTTGATTTGAGCCCGCAAATAATAAAGAAAGAAACCATTCACTAGACCCTTACACCAATTATCTCACTTAATTGTCACAAGAAGTGACAGTTACGTACTCTCTCGCGGTGAAACAGGCTTGCACCAAGTTAGGTCATTTCTCCCAGGTTACAAAGACCACTTGTGGAAATGGAGCTTGGACAAGGCCCCCAAATACAAAGCACTTACTACTTCACCACCCTCAAAACTCACGTGGGAGCCACGGCGAGCACAGGGGAAAGAGTGAGGGCCCTCCCGGCGAGATGAGAACCGACAAGAGCTTACTGATAAAGATCACTGACATTAGAAAATGACAGTTTTTTCTGAGTTATTATAATACCAAGAAGTTGTGCCTCAGAATATGCCATCAAACAGGTTGAAAACTCAAAGCTAGCACCAAACTCAGCTTGAGAGCAGTCTTCGTTGTTTATCCACAAAGTGCTCCCAGTGGTTTTGAAATGCCGAATTTTAGGTAAGGAATGTACTCTTCACGTTTCAGAACTCACAGCTGCTTGACACCTCACCCTTTTAGCTCACGTACTTATCCACTATTTCCCCCCATCCCTGCAATCTATTATTCGAGTTCTAAAAATATTCGAAACTCCCGAAAATGAACTGTCTATGCCTGGCACTACAACATTTTAAGAAAGTAAGATGAAGGGGAGGAAAGGTGTCTCCTAATGGCACCAGTATCTAACCAATATTTCACACTTGTCTTTCCATTGTGAATCTATACCAAGCAACTGAATCAAATATTCAGGGCAAAAGCTTTCAGATTTTTATCTACTCAATGGTGTTGATTAAACTGATCAATAATTTTATGGGAGATATTTCTACATCATAAAAAAGATCAATTCAATGACTTATTTTCTCTACGTCCTAAGAATATATGAAACACAGGGGCTGGGGATTTAGCTCAGCGGCAAAGCGCCTGCCAGGCAAGCGCACGGTCATGAGTTCGGTTCCCAGCACCGGAGAAAAACCAAAAAAAAAGAATATATGAAACACAAAAACAACTTGTACTGTATTTTCTCACTGTTTTTTTTTGTTTATAATAGCATGCTTTTTACATTGGCAACTATAAATCAAACTTTAGCTATTAACCAATGAGATTAAAAAGCAAAATCTATCAGAAGACAATAAACTATTTGACAATGGAAAAAATGTAAAAGGTGGTATTTTGAGTTTTAATGTCCCTCCCAATTCCTTGCTTTTCCCTAGCATGTTGATGATATTAGGGCCACGTAAACTTTCAGGACTTCTCTAGCTCCAAAACTTAAGAAAGAAGAGAGAAAAAAAATCTAAAAAATTCAAACGATGCTTGTAAGTCACTACAAATAATTAAGACTTAGAAACATGATTTTAGTCTCCCATGAACCATGGTCAACTTTAATACACACAATGGGAGACCCAAATGAGATACAGGCCTACACGTATTACCTGAGAGGCAGAGCACTTGCCTCCCACGCACAAAGCGCTGGGCTTGATCCTCAGCACTGTAAAACAAAACAAAACAAGAGGAGGAAAATGAGGAAAAAGAGGACGAGGAGGAGGAGAAGGTGGCAGCAGCAGAAGTAGAAGCAGCTGCAGAACTAGTAGAAGCAGCAGCAGGAGGAGGAAGGAGGGAGGAACCAAAGAAAGTGATACACAAAGTGAGCATCTCTATCACTTTTTTGGAGATGGTGTCTTGCTAAGTTGCCCAGTCGGGTCTCAAGTTTGAATCTTCCCGTTTTAACTTCCCAAGTAGCTGCGACTCTAACACCCCTGGCTCTCAGGTGAACATCTTTAGACCACCAACTTGTAAGTACAGTTGTAACGAATAGAAAAACCTGCACACCGCCTGCTTCCCAATTTCTACCGTCTCCCACAAAATGGTTAATAGGAAAGGGGCCTGCTCAGTAAAAAGCGGCACGCCGTTCTGACTGGTCTAACCAGTGCCGGAGTGACAGGAAGCCACACCGCCTGCCGTGTGGACAAAGCCACTCTGCTACCAAGGAGACAATGTAGCTGACACACAAAGTCAGTTCTACAAAGAGGAAATATCGATGGCCAAGAACCTCTGGGTTCCAGTTTCTAAACGCCCGGAGGCTTCTGTACTTCTCCCATGAATCAACTAGCCAAACCTTCCTTAATTTCTGGCAAACGGGAATTGGTTGCTTAGTTGCCGAGCAGTTCTCCCAGTTAATGCAGAGCTCCCGCGCACACGTCACAGGAAAAGTAGAAATCAAAATCAGGACTTTTAAAAAGCACATATGAATGGGTTAGACTTAATACAATAAAACAGTAAGGCTTCATAATACTTTCTTATCAATTCTTATAAAAGGATATTACCTTTTCTGGTGTTTTAAATACTGAATTTTTTTCACGTGCACAGTAATTTACAGAGTAAGACCTTTTCTGTATGATATGTTGGAGTCTCTCCAGCTCTTTCTTATAATAATCTCGTTCTTCTTCTATACCTTTGAGAAATGTATCTAAACGAGAAGGTAACTTGTCTCGACGTTTTATTCCATGTTCTAGCCTCATCCTCTCAACTTCCAAAGTAAGTTCTCTCTCTGCAATTTAAAGTAGTTAAACCATAAAACAATGTTCCGTGTCTCCTGTGAGTTAGCCAAATAAACAGGGTGAGTAACTTTTAGAGAGAATGCTGCAGAAAGCATCAACTGTTTTGTACCACCTTTAAGTACCAGATATAACAGAGATAAATACTGAGAGAGGAGAAACGAAGAAGCAAAATATTAAAGTTTAAAGAAAGTGCAATGGGACAAAGTCCCCTTGCTTTGTCCCGTCATAGGATGGATACTATTTAGTATCAGAAAATGAAACATAAATGACAGAATGAAGCAATCAATTTCCATATCATATTTTCTAGTCATCTAAAAATGAACTAAAAAATAATATGTGCAAACAATCAGGAATAAACTTAACATCAAGCTTGAATTTAACACAGTATATACACACAGAAATAAAGAGATCAAAATAGCTCAGGTCTTTCTCCAAATAAGCACTATTATTAGCTTTTACCATAGAAATCACTTTTCATGAGTCAAAAGTAACTAACTACAGTACTAGAAATTTCACAGAGTTCAGCTTAATTCAAGGGGTGCTCATTAGAACGCTGAGGCCTGGAAGGGTGATTCTCGATGTGTTCTCATTCACTCCCCTCTTCTTGTGTCATTCAGCAGATACACATTTAGCACTTACCATCTGCCGAACACTGGCTGAGGATTCAGCCATAAAAATCAGAGCCAAGATCAATAAAGCTACTGAAGTCGGCTAAAGCGACAAATGAATAGTGTGTCATGCAAATGGGAGGTGCACTGGGAAAATGACCCCAAGGAGGAGTGACCGAAGAGGTAAGAAGACAGGAGGAGACTCGAACGATGACCTTTACAAGAACAGGTGTTCTTGTTTGTTTTTTATATTTTTTGTTTATTTGTTCCTGGTGGTTCTGGGGATTGAATCCATGGCTTTTGCACTACATTATCTCCTCAGCCTTTTTAAAATTCTGAGATGGGTACATGCTAAGTCACTAAGTTTCCTGGCTGAACTCGAACTTGTAACCCCCTGCTTCAGCTTCCCAAACTCCTGGGATTACAGGCTTGTGTGAGCAAATTCTGAGATGGGTACATGCTAAGTCACTAAGTTTCCTGGCTGAACTCGAACTTGTAATCCCCCCGCTTCAGCTTCCCAAACTCCCGGGGTTACAGGCTTGTGTGAGCCACCATGCCCTGCTAACAAGAAGTTCTGCTCATGATGTGAGGACAGAAACCAACCTGAGCGGACCGAGGCACTAAGGGGCAGAGGGTGACCAAACAGAAACAGCCAAGCATGGCTTTTAGGTGATCGGATTGCATTTCCTTAAAAAGACTCTGTACTTTAATTTTGTACTGCTTCAGGGTCATCATCTTAGTTTTAATTGTATTTCTAAGGATTACTTCTATTGCAAAGGATTAATTGCAAAGTATGACTCGAAGGATTAGTTTTATTGCAAACTATTTATGCAGGGTCCACTGTACCAATCAACCAGTCGAAAATAGAAAAGAACTCTTAAGGTCCTTGAGGGAGAAAGATTTCTACTATATCTAAGAGTATCGTATCTAATATGGTTGCTGATTCATAGTAAACACTCAACAAATATTTACTGAATGAAAGATCTATTAAGAAAACTAATACATCAAGAGTAAATCACAATCATTTTTAAAGTTATTAACATTTTTCATCTTACCTGTCACTGCAAAACTTTCAATTTTTTTGGTAAGTCTTTGCTTTTCTTGTTCAAGCTGATGAACAACAGTTTCCAGGTCTGATTTTAGAAGGAGTTCATCACTCAGTCTCTCTTTTTCTTTATGGCATAAGTCTAATTCCTGAAAATTTTAATTCTATAATTAAGATTTTTAATAACTTTAAAAAATGTTAGAGAACTTTTTTTTTTTTAATGGTGCCAGTGACTGAAGCTAGGGCCTCCAGCATGCTTGCTTGGCAAGTCCTCTATCACTGAGTCACATTCCCAAGTCTTCTTACTTTTATTTTGAGACAAGGTCTCATGAAGTTGCCCAGGCTGGCCTTGAACTTGTGATTCTTTTGCCTCAGCCTTCTGAGTGGCTGAGATTATAAGCATGTGTCACCAACCTTGGGCTTTAAAATAGATATTTTTATGAGCACATTTATATAATAGTAATTCACACATACATGTATATGTACACACATTTTAAGTAATTAAATAGAGCTTCAACTGAAGTTAATTATCAACTGTGGCTAAAAGCACCACAGAAATCCAAGTATCAACAGTGCTCTTTTGAGAATGGCAGAATTAGTAGATTTTACTTTCCTTTTGTTTAGCACATTGTCCTGCTTTTTATCTAAATATATACTTGTGTGATACAAAATTTAAAGCTTATGTTAAAAAGAGGGCAGTGGTAAGATACAGCATGCCATTATGTTTATACAAAAATCAACACATATTTGAGCACCTACTGTGTACCAGCTGGTATGCTGGTTTCCTTTTGAAATGACTTACATCACCAACAAATGACTTATGTCACCAACATAGACTATATGAAGAGTATACATAACGAGAACACATGAAAATTAGTATCTTTGTTCCTACTCTCAGAAGAAACGTCCAATTTAACAGGTTAATTAAAAACGGCAATAATAAAAAACCTGTCTTCTAGGTGACCATCTACTTTCAATCTGTCAAGATGTGCTTTCTGCTGGTGCTGGGCCAGATGCTGTATTTAGGTTTCTGCTGGGATTACTATTTTGCTAATTAGAAGAATACAACAACAAGCAATATGACTTAGGAAAATGGTTTACGTTACACCAAAGTTATTAAAAGGACATTAAATAACCAAAGTTATTAAAAGTTATTAAACAGGACTGCCTGTGTTTTATAACAGCAAATCTATCAAGTAATCACAAATTTCTGATTTTAACATTAGTAAATTAACAAATCATAAAGTATTTAAACAATGTGAAATTCCCAATAGGTTTTTTATTTTTCATTTTATTTTTAAATTTTTTTTTGAGACAGGGTCTTGCTATGCAGTTCAGGCTGGGCTTGACTCACTTTTTAGCCCAGGCTGGTCTTGAACTTGCAGCAAAGATCCTCCTGCCTCAGCCTCCAAGGTGCTGGGATTATAGGCGCCCAATAGGTTTTTAAAATTTGAATTTCACTTGCAAACCTATTACTATATAAAAGACTGAAGAATTATAAAAATATAAACTGTATATCCATACAGTGGATATCAACTATAAAAAAGGAAGTATGTATTCGTGCTACAATGCATATAAGCCCTGAACACATGCTAAGATGAAGAAGCCAGACACAAGGGACCACACACCGCATGATTTCTTTTACACCGAACAGTCAGAACAGACAAATACATACAAACGAGAAGCAGAAGGATGGTTGCCAGGGGAGCAGAGGAGTGGGGAGTGGCTAAAAAAGGGAATGAGGCTTCTCTTTAAAGTGATAGAAATGTCCTGGGTTTAGATGGTTGTGTTTTTGAAAAACTTTGTAACTATACTAAAAACACGTTATGAAGGGTGAATATTATGATATGTAAATTACATCTCAATAAAAAATACACACCCGAAATAAAGCACAGGAAATTCTAATGAAAATGCCGTTATTATGAGATCAACTCACCAGTTGAAGTTTTGCCATTGTTTCTTCAAGATTCCGCATTTCACAGAGGTTTCTTTTAATCTCTTTCTAGGAATAAAAAGCTTATCAGGTAAACACCCTAAGGACAGTTGTCACTACATCACCATGTAATTCTTCTAGTGGTTCGTGTTCTTCCTCACTAGTAAGATCTGAGGCTTCAGCCCTGCTGCTCAGCTTCAGTGAAGAGGGTGTGGAACTGCGGATTTTCTTTACCTTCCAGTACCCTGAATACTTCCAGGGACCTGTGTGCAACATCTGCAAGAAGAGGGTCCCTGGAGATCTTTTCTGCCTGTATTCTGGTGGGACTCTCACAAGGCCTTGAGTTTCAGGGTATCTTTTATGGTACTGCCATTCCCTAATGTTACTATCCTCCCTTTCTCCCCACCTGCTTTCACCAACCCGGATCCCCTATACTGCAACTGAGCGGGCAGAACGCAGAAATGAAAATACTGTGGCCCAGCAAGACTCCTGTGCTAACCCACGCTGTCATTTCTGAGCCCTGTTCATGGGCCACAAGATGCTCAGCAGAGATGCAAAAGGAGGTCGAAGGAGAAAGGGGTGAGTGTTGCGATGGAAGTCAAAGTACACATGCATATGCAAAACTGTATTAATTAACCCTTTCTCAGCACTGCTTTTATCTAGGGTTTCTTGAGGTTCCATATAAATTTTTTTTTTTGGTACCGGGAATTGAACTCAGGACCTTATGCTTGCCAAGCAAGGTGCTGGGCCACTGAGCTATATCCCCAGCTGTTTTTGTATTTTGAGACAGTGTCTCGCTGGCCTTGAACTCACTATGTAGCCAAGGCTGGCCTCAAACTTGCAGTGATGCTCCTGCCTCAGCCTCCTGAGTGCTGAGATTACAGGTGTGCACCACCACACCTGGCCTCTATATAAATTTCAGAAGTTTATCTTGCTTTTTTTGATGCTAATGAAAATGAGATTATTTCTTAAATTCCTTTTTGGATTTTTTATTGCTAGTGTATACAATCATATCTGATTTTTGTGTGTTGACTTTGCAACCTGCAACTTTGCTGAAATCAATTCCTAGTCCTACCTTTTTGTTTTTTGGAACAATCTTTAGGATTTCCACATGTAAGATCATGCCTTCAGTGGCAAGAGACAGTTCTGCTCTTCACTTACAATGTGCATGTCTTTTACTTCTTTTTCCTGCCTCATTTTTCTGGTTAGGTTGTCCAGTACCATGTTGAATAGACAGGAGAAGTATGCTCCCGGTTTTAAAAGAAAAGTTTCAGCTTTTCAACTGTAAGTATCACATTTGCTGTGGGCTTTTCATAGTTGTTATTATATTGAGGCAGTTTCCTTCTGTTCTACTAGTTAGTGGAAATGACACTATAAAAACAACTCCATTACAGAGCAGCAGGCTCCAAATTGGTTTGTGTCTAATCCTGACATGAAGGTTTTTCAAGAATTATGTAAAATAGTGGTATTTCAAGAATTATGTAAAATAGTGGCAATACATAATTTTAAGGAGTCAATACTTAGATCCTTAATATGCACATATAGTCTTTCCAATAATATTTTACTTTTTAAATATTTACCAACAGCCAGGCGTGGTGGTGCACACCTGTTATCCCAGCACTTGGGAGGCTGAGGCAGGAGGATTGCTGAGAGTTTGAGACCAGCCTGGGCTACAAAGTGAGCTCAAGGCCAGCTTGAACTACTTAGCAAGATCCTGTCTCAAAAAGACAATAAATAAATAAATAAATATTTACTAAAATTTGTGGTACATGTGTCACTTTGATCCACTGATCACTACTGTAACGATAACACTACTCAGAGGAAAATGTTAATACTTTGAACCTTACAGTCACAGGAAATTTTTTCAATTCATGTATGTTTTACTCTATGCAGGTATGATGACGTGATCATAAAAAGATATTCAAGGATAAAGTATGTTAAAATAGGATTAAATTTTGCAAAGATTTCAAGGAGAGTCATTTAGTTTTCACCAGCTACATTAAAAAGAACCATGAGATTAGTTTTAAGAGGTCAGAATTTATGAAAGACTACAAATTTTATCTTTTCCAACTTAATAAAAAAAATAGCTACTAACATAAAATATGCAAGAGCATGTACTTTTAAAACGCCTCTAAAAGGTTCTTGAGCAAAAAATTAGAGGGCAAGGTTTATAGACTCTCACCATGAAAAGATAAGAGAAATTTTCAAGAAAACAGGACAGAGTTAGGAGCTCTATCCAAAAATAGGTGTGCTTTTCTTTCTTTTTTTGAGATAAGGTCTTGCTATGTAGCCCAGGCTGGTCTCACAGCAATCCTCCTGCTTCAGCCTCCCGGGTGCTGGGATCACAAGCACATGCCACCATGCCTGGCTAGGTGTGCTTTTGAAAAACTGTCAACTAGAACAAATGCAATTGTTTGGAGGGTGTAAACAACCCTTACGGAAACCTTAAAATTACTAAAAGAAATGAAAAATAACACATTCACAAAATAAATCAAAAATGTGGACATTGAATCAAATGGGCCCAAGCTTCACTGTGTCCTGAGAGAATTAATGACCACTCCCACAGTGAGACAGATTACCTTTGCTTCCCCAAGTTCTTTATCAGCCGTCTGAAGCACTTCTTCTTTATGTCGTTCCAGTTGCTGCGCTAAGTGGTCTATTTCAGTTAGTTCTTGGCAGAGCTTTTCGTTTTTGTTACTTAAATTCACCACTTCAGTTGCCACTGTCTCCTTGGTTTCCATAAGCTCTTGAATGTGCTTCTCCAGGTCTTTATTAGCTTGCTGAAGAAAGTCAACCTAAATTCAATTTGTCATCATAAGGTATACAAATTGGAAAATTATCTTAAATTTTGAACTATAGAAATTAAAACTATAGCTGTTTTATATTTGTAAACTTAAATACTGATTTTATTTGCAAAACTGACAATATGTGCTTGTGTATTAATGAAAATATACGCCCACTGCTTTGGTTTTCAAGCATAGAAGGAAACCTGGCTGAACTTCTTCCCCCAACAAAGTATCTAAAAATACGACAAGGATATCACAATGATGACATTGAACTGTACTGTTTAAAATACAGTACCCACTATCATCTACAGGTGCTACTAAGCCCTTGAAATCTAGCTAGTCCAAAATGAGACGCACTACAAATATAAAATATACACAATACTTCAAAGTCATGGTTAAGGAAAAAAGAATAAAAGTATTACACGCTGAAATAAGATCCTGGATAGAGTAGCATAAACACATTATTAAGGTTAAATGCACCTCTTTCTTTTTCTTTTTCTAAAGGGTTAGCTGGGAATTTCAAGTCACACATCTGGCTCAGGCCACATTCCCGCTGGGCAGCACTGCCCGACAGCTGGTGCTGGCGTTTTCTCCTTCCTGTTCTCTGACTGCAGTCGAGGCCGTGCTGACATGTCTAAGGGCCACACGTCACAGTGTAGAATACTCCTGCTCTTTCAGTTTTAGGTTAAATGCAAGGCATGAGCGAACACAACTTATAGGTATGAGAAAGATGTATATTCCTATACATATATATACTCATATATTATGTATTCCTATATATGTAAATAATATATCCTATGTTTATATATTTAAAACCATCTTTTTGCAAAATTATCATGAAATTTTAAAATATAAAGAGCCATCCAGAAGAGTCTCTCATCACACAAAGATAAGCTTTGCTGGTACATTTGGCTGTGTTTCTTTAAGTGTGTCCTCTAAGGACCCATATACAGTATGAAACATGCAAACTGAACACCGCACTGCCCACAGCTCATGCTGAGCCTTTACCATTACGATGCGGCTCAATTCCTGCTTCACTCAATATTCTTTAAGAACGAGGGTTTTCAATGGATAAAAATTGTGGCATTTTTATGTAATGGAATATTACTCAGCTATAAAGAAAGACAAACTTGAGGCTTTTACAGGTAAATGGTCACAACTGGAGACCATACTCATAAGTGAAATGAATCAGACCTGCATGGGTAAGCACTGCACTGGCTCACTACTGTAAGAACCTGAAAGAGTGAATAAAAACTAGGAGGTATGACAGACATTGTGAAACAAAAGGAAACTGCTCAAAAGTAAAAGGCAACTGCGATGAGGGAAAAGAGAAAAGAAAGAAGGGGAAATTATGTATGTATGTGTATACAGGATAGCTAACATAGTTGTACTACGGACTTCTATCGCTTTATTGAAAGGAACAGTTAATGATTGCTTATTTGATCAACCTTGCATGTCTGTATTTGTTTTCCTGAGTAACCACTTTGAAGTTATCAGTATGTAGTACAGCAACCGTTGTTAATTTCCTGTCACCTTGTCTGTAACTCAGTATTGCTCGTATTGTTCTGGTGCTATTTTGTAAATGGATGTCTGTTAGTATGTTTTCGTTCTTTTATTTTTAAAATTAAAAAAAATAGTTAAAGAACAAGATTTTTCAATAGTTGTACCCTATTTCTAGATACTTGAGCTCTACCGATTTTTTTTCTGTAAACAGTGAACAGCCTCGTCACTTTTACAAATTACAGGGCATTATAAACACTGAGGGTTTTACACACACAGTGAAATAATGGTAAGAGCCATTACCTGCACATTTAAGTGAGCAATCAGCTTTTCGTTGGTTTTATTTTTAGTCTCCAGAGACAAGACATCTGGGGAGCGACCACCATCCAAAGCAACTGACAGTCGCTCGATCTCTCGCTCTCGCAGCTCAATCTGCAGACACAAAGCCACGCTATCACTTTCAAAATACCAGCTCTGATCCAAATGGTTAACACTGAACATTTCTCGGATGTGTTCTTCTTATGTCCCACAATGTGTAAAAGAGAGTAACACCCACATTTGTATTGATACATAATGCCTATTAGCAGAGCAAGGGGAAGTAATTCAGAAAATGTCAACCTAAGTATTATCAATATCACTCCCTAAGTATTTTCCTCCGATTTTAATTTTGGGTTTCCCCCTCCTCTAAGAACAAACAACTGATTATCAGAAAGAAACTTGTCGGCACACTGTGTACATGTTCAAGCCCTGCACCGAGTCTGAGCTGCTTCCGTGCCCGGCGAGACACCCAGGGAAGGAAAGGAAAGCATAAAGAAAACCGCGCTGTTGCCACTGACTCTCAATATTACAACGGACAGGCAAGCGAGGCCAATTTAATCATCTGTTATTTACAGAACAACAGGTAAATAACCAAAAAATAGTTGTACAGCTACTATGAATTGATGTTAATTCATATGCAAGTATTTGGAAAAACTCACAATCTTTCAAGCTGTGGTTTTCTTAAATAAGGAAAAGGAGGAAGAAAAGCCAAAACACTCAATTAAACAAGTAACTCTTGGGCACAAAAGTAGGCATACAAAAATAAATAAAACATGGTCTCTCACTTTCAGCAACACATACCTTTTTAAAGGGAAAACTGGCTGTAGAATCTGGTATTCAGACAGAGTAGAGGAAATAGGTATTTGGCACCAAAGCGGCTAAGAGATTTAGTTGGCACGGTATATGTGTCTGTGGAGGTTATCAAAGACGTCATCAAAATATGTCTGACAGGACTGTAAAGAACGCTAAGAGAAGAGGGCTATTCCAGGCAGTGACGCGGAAGTAAAAAGTGGGGTATTTCACAGGCACAAGAACCGGCTCCACGTGACTGGATTGTAAGGTGCAAGGGAAATCTAGGTGGGAGATGAATCTGAGGAATCAGGCCTTGGGCAGGAAGAACAACCCCTTACCTATTAAGAGAGCTGGAGTGTAAATACTGATAATTATGAGGGTAAAAAGAAAAGCTTATTTTCTCAGGTTGCATTATGAGAAGGGAAGGTATCATTAATTGCTGTTATGTTTGGTTCTGGCACTGAATCCAGACTTTAAGAGGGGTAAGCATGCAGTCTATCCCTGAGCTAAGCCCTGATAGTACAGAATTCAGAATACGTGGTGAGAAAAACAAAACAAACTCAAGTAAAAGAAAAATAACAGTAATAACTGACAGCAAAGTGGGCTCAACTAAGCTTAACAGCTACAATGAATTGTTGGTTTCAATGAGAATGCTCAAGCAATTTTCTCCAAACACTTCCGCTACCTCACAGAGATGGTAAAAACTGGCTAGTTCACGTTCACGAAATACTTGGAACAAAATGTGATGGAAGTCTGATTGTAAACTCAAAAACACCAGTAACAACTCAACTCCTGCATATCTGATATTTTTAACATCTCTTTATTAAGTTAGTTTCTGGGTTGAGATGATTTCCTTTCTTTTTAACTCCATTTTTATGCAAATAATCTTCAAAGTACTTCACAAACTTAAAAGTTATACTAACAGATAAAGTACATTTATATTTATATGTACAGCTTCTTTTACTCCAAAAAATGCATCCACGTGCAGAAAATGAAAAATGTGTTACCCAATGTAAACATGAAGAAGCATGTTAAGAAGGAAATCTTTTGATTTAGCCAAGATGTCAACAGAAAATGCAAAGGACAAAGTTTGGTGTGCTTTGATATAGCTTTGCACTGATTAATCGCCCTACTTCATCAAGAAACTGCTTTATGAGTTACTCATGCTTTTAGAGAAAACACACAAAAAACAACACCACAGAAGAATAACTTCCACAGAGATTTATGTCCAAAATAACAAAATCTATAATAAGAAGAAAATAATAAATACAATTATAAAACACACTGGGTAGTCAAATGTTTCACCTGAAATGAAAACAAAATGATAGTATTACTATTACTATTCACTGAGGTATTACTATTCACCTCAGTGAATAATGAAGGAAAGGGGCCATTTGAGTCATGCTATTACCTCCACTCACAAACCGCCAGAAAAGGTAAAAGCTGTAGAGAAACAGTATCCGTAACATAAAATGTAACTCAGTTCTAGTCACAATTGGGGCACACCCACCTCAACCCACAACGCCAGGTAATACAAACCCTACCTGCTTGCTGTAATCTCTCACCCCGCTTTCCATCACTGTTAACTTTTCTTGTAGCTGGTGGACTTCCTGCTGAAGTTCTTGGATCCTGGAAGGCATTTATAATTGATGTCAATGCATGTGTGAAGAAAAGTAACAAGAAATCAAAACAATTAGTTATTTTATAAATTCTGTACTCTTGCTTCTCAATGAGGGACCAGTGCTGTATCAAAGGATCCCAAAATCTCAATAGGAATGTAGTACACCACCTTGGAGAATTAATTTTGTTAGATTAAAAACTGAGTAGCAAATAATTTGAAACTTAGATACACTATGCAATAAAATACTTCACTACCGCATTTTGATCTTAGGACAACTCCTGGGGACACTGCTGCTAATGCTTACGTTTACAAAACTGACAGTTCAGTTCAAAATTCAGAACATCATTAAGTGAAACAAGGGACTAAAATGTTGTTTTAGGATGTTAATTAAACTCATATTGTCTAATAAACTGCAATCTTGGAGAAAAGAAAAATATTGAGATAACTGCAATTTTTCAGCTAACTACAGCAAAACACCTACTCTTTCTGAAACCTGTAAATTCTAAGAGAATGAAGATTTTGTGCAAATTACTTCAATTTTACAAGTACCCAAATGTATTTGTACTATCTCAATAGGACATAACACATTTTTGTATTGGAATGATAAAGCCTGAAGCCAAGTCTACTTTTTCTGGGGGGGTAACGGGAATCAAACTCAGGACCTTGTGCTTGCCAGGCAGATGCTTATGCCGCTGAGCCACATCCCCATCCCCTACCAAGTCTACTTTTAAGATAAAAAGGATTCTTCCAGGGAATGGAGGAATGAGGCTGAACACAACTTATTCCTACTATTACTGGAACCAAAGTTTTCTGCTAGTCTGATTTAGGAGAAGTATGTATACACAAGTATACTCCTAAATGCATGAGTGACTGAATACCAACAAAACATGTACGTGCAAACTGAAGCAGGCAAGACTTGAAAGACTAATGTCACCTATGCAGCCCAAATAATTCTTTAACACTAGCACGTTACCTGAAAAATCCCAGGTTGTGACTTTAACAGAAGATTAAAACGCAAAGTATTTCATGATTAAGTAACCATATAAACATAGCTACACAACACGGTTTAGAACTGCGTGAAGAGATCCTAATCGATTCTCCATCCAATGCTTTTCTAAAGATTAGTATTTATTAAACTAATAAAGCAGAATACTCCCCCATGTTCTCAGCACAGTCTACAAAGTGCTCACGTGCACTATCTCTACTAGTGTATCCCAGGGTGAATGCTCTCCCAGCTATCTCTGTAGTGTCACTAGTGCTGGCTCACTTGCGCCTTCGAATCCCCTACAGTTTTCTAAACAGCAGTCCATGCATTGCTCTGGCCTCATCGCTACTCCTGGATTGCAAGCTTCTCAGAAGAGGCAGCACCACCTCGCTCATCTTTTTTTTTTTTTTCTTTTTTGTTTTTATCCGGTACCGGGATTCGAACTCACGACCCTGCACTTGCCAGGCAGGCACTTTGCCACTGAGCTAAATCCCCAGCCCCCACCTTGCTCATCTTTACATCCTCAGAACACTCGCATGGTGCCTTCCCCAGGAGGCGTAAGGAGCTATAATTCACGTGACTTGCATCTGATTCTAGAAAGTATAAATACGACAGCAAGAGGGACTGTGAGACAGGAATTTCAAGCCTAGTTATAAATCTATTCATGCCCAACTAGCATTTGAAATAAATCTGAAGTAATGAAGATTCCTGTAAGGTAACTTACTTAGAAATGAAACCGTTTAAACATTTCTGACGCAATAGGTTCTTGACGGCACTAAATTATTCTACAGTGAATAAGGACAGACACCTAAGATATACAATCTACTTGAAATTGAAGTATCAATTTTTACTTAAGTAAAAATACTCTGTATCATTCAGAAAGTATCAACTGCCTGTGTACAGTTCTGTGCTAGACATTGGGAATATAATGAGATAAAAGTCTTCCTATCCCTAAACTTGCAGCTGATCCGTGATCAGTGAACTTAAAGAACCTTCTCAGGTTACGATTACTGTTAGCGCTGGGACTGGCCCAGGGCCTTGCGCACGCTGAGCACGCGCTCTGCTCGCAGCGCCCAGGGCACCTGTTATCGGCCACTTGCAGGAGGTCTGCAATGTAAGGGTCCTCGGGCTGCGGAACTGGGTAAGAGCTGACTTCAGAGGGAGGAACCGGCTCGTCAATCTGCATTCGCTGGCGTCTGAATGCAATGCTCCTTTTCTTGCCACCTTAAAAACAAACTGCGTCTTAAAACATTAAGAAACAAAACACCACTAAATTAAATATTCCAGGTTAGCTTTTGTTATATAAAGTGGGACTCTAGATCATATTGCACAGTGATCAAATACTTCTCCCTTATATGTAAATACCCACCCTGCTCTCTAAACAACATATTCCTGAAAAGCTCAACGAGACATGACTATAAAACAAGTTTTCTACGCCCATTTGCTTGGCATATGTGCTCTGATTTAATCTCTTCCTCCACTAGATGGGGATTAGGCTTTGGCAAGAGTAAAAGCTGAGTGTGCTTTGAGGTATTCACTATTATGAGCTCAAGACATCATCTCCAGCACTAAACTGTCAAGTAACGAGCTTAAGGCAGTGAAAACCAAAATACACATGCTGATTAAACAGCGTCAAAAGATTAGATTTTTTTTTGTACCAGGAATTGAACTCAGGACCTTGCGCTTGCCAGGCAGGTGCTTGCGCCACTGAGCTACATCCCCAGAGCAAAAGATCAGATTTAAATAGCAAAATTAGAATATAATGGAGTATCACCTGTACTATAAGGTCATGCTATACCTTGAATTAGTAGGCAATATCTTAATTAATGTTACAAGTAGTGGAAGTAATTTTTTAATAGATAGGCTGACCTTGCTTTGGCCTACAACACATTGATAATTTATCTTTTAAGCATCTGGCCAAGATTAGAATTGTACTTGAAAAAAACTAATAGATCCTTATGAAGAAAAATCCTCAATATTATCTTCATGAGGACTCTAACAAGTTTTGTTTTGAGAAAGAATAGCCTTACCTGGAGTTTGTACCACAGCATGCAAATTCTTTTCTTGAAGTTGCTGAATTTTTTCATTTTTAGCTTTGCTCTCTTTCTCCAAAAGTTTGAGTTTGTGAACATACTGGTTATTTAGAAATTTCAGATCTGCTGTTTCACGTGCACACTTCTTCAATGTAGTTTTCAACTCTTAGAATGAAGAAGATTCAAAGACTAGTTTTTATTTTGTTTTGGAGACAAGGTCTTGCTATAAGGTGTAGTTTGGGAGATGACTGGATCCTGGGTGTGGGACACCGGATTAGTCCACTGAATGGATTACAGCTGGGTGTGACGGTGGGAGACGCAGTGTGGTGGGTGCAGGTGGGCCGTCGTGGGAGCAGCCTCAAAGGGTACTATATATCCCTCTTCTTCCCTGGAGAGCTGCTGCTTCCTACCTGCTATGCCCCTCTGCCTTGGAGCCAGCTTACTACAGACTGAAACCTCTACAAACTGCAAGGCAAAATAAACCTTTTCTTCTTTATACAATTCAGGTATTGTGTCTGAGCAATGGAAGAAGTTGCTATAGGACTATCATCTCTGCTAATCCAAAGTTTCAAAATTAGACTTTATAGTCTTTCTACATAGAAAATAAGATGGGCAAAGGTATTACTGCATCTTAGAAATTACTACATTTTCATTTACCTTTAATATTCTGCTCTGAACACTCTCTCAGTTTCATTAACTCCAGGTATAATTCATTATTTTCTTTACTTAATCTCGCATTTTCAAATTTATAGGGTTCCAAAGCAAAATCAAAATTGGCACTTTCCTTTTCAGCTTTCACAGAAGATAATTTTGATTGCCGAAGGTTTTCTGTTGTATGAACCAAGTCACTAAAATTGAAGAACACAAAATGTAAATACAGGAAAACATTTCATTAATCTTCTAATAACTTAAAATACACTTTAAAAAGGCTTAAAATATATCCGGGTATTAAAAGACATCAAATTCTAAAGAAGAATGAAAACAAGTTCTTTCAAGGTATTGGGGGGCCTAAATAACTTCTCAAAACAAAACTAATTACATTTATAAAATACATACACACTGAATTATCTTTTTTTTTTTACACTGAATTATCTTTGAATGTCCTTTCTTCCTCATTTTCCCAGTTTGTAGAATCTGATTTATTTATTCATTGAGCAAATATGTACTGCCTACTATATGCTAAGCATCAGAGACACAGCAAATAAGCATCAGTGAGTCCCTCACCGCTAAGGACACAGACCAGTGGGACATCATCCATTAAATATTTATCGAGGACACAGAAAAGGTCCTAACCACTATACAGCTTGTCTTCTACAATCTGTCAAAAAGACATAAAACTATGTGACAAACTCAACAAATACGTCACTGAGTACTACACGCTCAACCAGCAGAGGTCAGAGTCTCTGGTCTCACAGAGTCTGCACTCTAGAGAAAGACAAAAACAAGTCTGCAATAATGATGTACATTACGGAAAAAGCAAGTTATGAAAGAGTGCTAGAGGATGCACAAACTTAGAAGCTCAGCAGGCACAAAGGCAAGGGAAGGCGAGAAAGGGGCTCCACAGGCAGACGAACAGCATACCGAGAGACCAAGGGCGAGAGCACACATGAGCCCAGGAAGCTTCAAGTGATTCAACACAGGGCGAGCAATGAGGCCTCGGGACAAAGCCCACGCTAGGCCATGAAAGGTCTGGGAGGTCAGGTTAAAGATCACAAAACATCTTTATTTATTCTCTCCTTCCCATCCTACTGTAAAATCCTATAGCTCCAACTATAAAATCTTCCTGAACACTTCCTTGGTCAAGTCTCAAACTGCTCCAACATAACTCATAGAAAGGAGAAAAACAAATCACAAAGAACTTTTCACTTCAGGCAATATATGATAGCAACGATCAACAACATATGACGTGTGATCAAAACATATGAGAATGTTTAAAGTTAAAAAACATATTATAGTAAATGATATATGGCCATTGATCCCCTTCAAAATGCTCCTCCTTCCTTGGTTTGAACACTCTTATCCCCTTGTTGCTATTTCTGTAGCAGTTCTGGAAGTCCTCTTTCATGAGTGTTTTTAGTTGCATTTCATGGATGCCTTGCTACTAAGAATGAATTCAAAACATTTGCCATTCATAGTCATGTTGACTTTGGGGAAGAACCAGCTGTCACATGGTGCCAGATCTAGTAAATAGGTGGGGAGGGGACACATGGCAATGTTTTCATGAGTCTGCTTTTGCAGTGGATGGCACTTAGCAACAGCACTTACTGTAGTCACACCTCCTAGACACAAAAGAGGACTTCTAGATCTGCTTCAGGAAGTGAAATGAATGCTGGGATTCTGATCCCCACACTGGAAAAAAGAAGTATCTCTAAACTAATTCTATTCAGAGAAACCCTCAAAATGTTTACTCTGAGTATAGTGTGAGTACTGACGCCTGGAGTTTTGCAATGTGGAGATCCGGGACGGAGGACACAGAAATTAGAATCAGAGGAAGAAGAGATAAGCTTCAAATGATTTAATGACTTTTCAAGTCTGTTCACTTCTTTACTGAAGCAAGTTTGATCAGAAACTAGACAAGTGGCTTAAGGACGAGATATGTTTAGAACTGTATTTTTATCTTTACCTGAAGAGCTTTTCTACCAAAGGTAAACACTCGACTGTCAGAGTCTGCCGGTACCCCAGCTGATCCAATCTCTTCCTAATATTAGTATACTTCCTCTCTGCAGCTGTCGTCATCTTGACTTCCAAAACCGTTTTACTCACTTCCAGAAATTAAAGTCCTAAAACAAAAGAATGATTATTACAACTACTGTTGTTGTCTCCAAAAAGAAGAGATTCTTTTAATATGAAGCGATTATTCTTCCTTTCTCTTCACTTAGACAGTCTTTGGGACTATTTACATTGATTTAAATCCTTTGCTATGTTCTCCATGTTGCTGCACCAAAACATGATCCTCTTCCCAAACCTCAATGTAAAAATTAAAATAATAAAGAGCCTGAGATAGGGAAGAAATTCCTCAAGAGGACTCTTTAAAAGCACACAACATAAAAAAAAAACTGAGCAAATATTTATTGACTATTTGCTGGTTAAACTATATGATAAAATGGACTGCATCAAAATTAAAAACATATGGTCATCAAAATATTTTAAAAAAAAGGCAAACCAAGGAGTGCCTGAAAACATAATATCTAAGAAAGCATTGTTATATGGAATAACTCATTAGTTATAACTCAGTAAGACATACAACCCAATGAGAAAATTTAGGCTAAAACTAAATTTACTTGTGCTAAAGATATGGATATACACCTTGCAAAAATAATGTGAAGAAGAAGAGTACATGAAAAAGGTGTTCAAGATAAGTCACTGGGGAAATTCAAATAAAACCACCAAAACGTGATTCTGTCCACACTAGAATGGCTAACACTAAAAGGAACGGCAGTACCCAAAGTTGACAAAGATCTGGAACGGTATTTACATGACAAAGATCTGGAACGGTATTTACATGATGCAAACACCCACACAAGACAAGGATGCTCACGGCAGCTTTATTCATACTAGCTCCAAACTGGGAGCAACTCAAAAGCCAAACATCAACCCCAGAAGGGATCAACCACGACATACTATACACTATTATACTATTCAGGGGAGAAGGGTGTAAAACGACTGATACATTAGCAACAGAGGTGAACCTCAGAAATACTACTAAGCAAAAGAAGCCAGCCACATACACTGTACTAGTCCATGAAGTTCAAAATCTGGTAAAATTACTACAGGGAGAGAAATTAACCCCCATTAAGGATTTTCTAGGGTGATAAAAAAACTGCTGAGGGAATGGTGCACATCTATGGAAGCTTTTCAGATCACTTCACCATGCAAATTTCAACTCAGTTTTATAAAAAAGGAACTTAGTACCCATGTATACGTTTTTAAAACTAAGCACTTATAGCTATACTCTATCAATCTGCTCTGAAATGGAGTTATCCAAAGATAATTCTTTAGAAATTTTGTTCTTTTCTGACCTTTGCTAGTTTAATATAGTCAGTGCTATTCATGGTTCTAAACCAAATAAAAAGCCTTTTGTTTTGTTTGCTTGTTTTTTTTAAGACAAGGCCTTGCTACCCAGTTCAGGCCTTGAACACACTATGCAGCCCAGGCCGGCCTGGAACTCATGACCTCAGCCTCCTGAGTGCTGGGATTATAGGTGTGCCACCTCATCCCACTAAAAGCTTTTTGCTTTTTAGAACAAAGTGTGGCTATGTAGATGTACAGTCCAGGCTGGTCCCGAGCTCACTGTGCCCCAGGCAGGCTCCCTACTCATAATCCTTCCGCCTCGGCCTCCGAGTGCGGGACTGGAGATGTGTACCTCCACACCCACTTCCACTGAACTTGCTTTACATCTGTTGTTGCTCACAACTGACAAGGTATAAAAGCACATGAGCATACGCAGATTCTGCAAGAACCCTGGACTACCTCCGCCTTGCTCGCCTCAGCTAACTTTTGAGATGCCTGATGTTTTAGCCCCTTCTCCCCGCCTCCTGGTTGTGTGTTTTGTAAACTTGTCTGTCTCTTCCCGAACCATATCCGAGTATGGCGTCTGGAGCCAGGCAGCTCCCCAGAAGCCTGTACCACAACACCAGTGACACACAGACCGTGCCCTGAGATTCCCTGCACCTCATTAATCAAGTTAGGAGATGGTGTTGTTTCTTCCTGCACTCGGGCACCAAGGTGAGCTCATTATGTCCAGCTTTCAGTGGCGATGTCACATTCTCTCTGCCCAAGGATCTGCGCACACTTTAGATGTGAAGCTGGCTTTCCTCTGGCCCTTGGTCTTTAGAATGGCTGAAGAGTCTACAGAAATGAGGCTGCTGAGAAAAAGCACTCATCACAATACTTTAGAATTCCTGACAAGCCTGCCACTAGGGTGCTTCCTCATTCCTTTCCTGTGACAAACAGGTTGTGCTTTCCAACGAGCCCACGGAAGCTGCTCCTACACCTCCAGCTAACACCGTCCTGGAGCTGGTTCCTTCACTATCCTGACCACAGGAAGCTTCTGCTCGTTCACCTGTGGCAAGAGTTCCCTCAGGTCAGTCTGCAAAGGCTGCACAGCCCGAGAGGAGGCAGCGCATCTCCTCCTCCTCTGGCCTCACTCAGAAGTAAGGGGAGCATTGCCCACAGGTGCGATGCTATCCTCACGTCCCTCAGCAGCTCCCTGAGATTAGTTTCATGCGTGACAAGGGGACCACAAGCCACGCGATGCTTGAAGTTCACTTTAGTTCTCTTCCCTCAAGGAAAAAGTAACCTACTTTTTCCAGTGGAATTGACCTTAGTCCTGGGAGGGGAAAGATAGCAGCTGGCTTTCTGTCACTTTCTGACATTGTGCTGGAGAGGTATTTTCTGTAGCAGACTTTGGGTTCCAAAGAATGCTGGAAGCCAGAAATTGCTCCTCTAGACTGCTGAGCTTGCAATCAACACAGAATCGCCAAATCCACGTATTTGTCTTAAAAAAAAAAAAAATTCCTTAAGAGAGCCAAAAGAGTGATTCTGCTTAACTATCACTTCTGTTAAGACGTCAAACAGAAATCAAAACAGCTAACTGCTCAGAAAACAAGGTTTCAGTTTCTTATCCCAATTCAAATGAGGTGTGGCCAGGTACCCTATAATCCTAGTTACCTGGGAGGACAGGGTAAGAGAATCACAACTTCAACACAACCCAACCTTAAAATAAACAACAAGGGGCTGGGATGTAGCTCCATAGTACAGTGCTGGGCTAGCACGCACCAGACCTTGGATTCAATTCCCAGCGCCACCAAGGAGAGGGGGTATACAATTCAATCCTGAGCTTCTACAGGGCCTATCACTTTTCAGAAATCCCCAAGACCAATTTCTCCTGTTTGCATTTCAAGGAAGAGACTTCAGAAAGTTGCAATGACCGCCTAAGAGAAATTCTGACCACAGTGATTGGTTCCCCTTGTTTTTAATTCTCTAAATGCAGCGTTCCTTCGCCTTTTTTTCTTTCACTTGTGAAACTAGCAAAAATTTCCCTTGAGCGCTAACAAGTTTGGTCCTTTCCACCCATCCCTCTTGGTCATCACAAACTCTTCTCATATGCAGCATACCGATCAAATTTCACACTATATTCGCCCAGCTGGACCTGCTGTCCATCACCACCACCAAGGAGCAATCCTGCTAAGGATGAAAGGCCATGGGCACCTTCTCTATTTAAAGATAAAGAAAGACTTGCCTCCAGAAAAGCTTTGATCCAAACCACAGGGCCACAAGTAGGTGAGCAGACAAGGGACACCAGGTCTCCCGAGTCCTGTCCAACAGTCTGATTTCCGTATTTACCGTATCACTTCTAAATGAGGACCTCTCCTTGGTTACTGCTTCCTACAGTCTTCTCCCGGCCCGTGCTAGCCTCTAGCCTCGTCTCTGAAAGGCTTCCCCGAAGGCCTTCTAGGTTCCTTCCACAAGAGGGACTGTCTGATCCCCGGTGTTTCAGGGAACCTCCTGCAGGCATTTCGAACGAACTCAAGACTAGTAGGGCAGTATGAGTACTTCCCCTCTTCTTGGCCCCTAACGCTGGTTACACAGAAATAATCCCCTCTTCACACCTTGTTTGGGGTAAAGGAAAGGAAAGAATGAGAGTAAAAAGATTCAAAACATCATGGCCAGGGCCATAATACATAAAAATGGACGAAAATCCTCCCAGGGAAGACGAAAAATATGTACAGGATTAGGCTTTTTCGGCCTACGGTCTTCTTCTGTGGCTATCCTCACAAGATCTTCGCAAAACAACACACAGGGCTGGACTTGCGACCCCGCACACGCGCCGGGACCCCACAAACACACGAACTATCCAACTGTCCAGGCCTGGAGGTGGACATCTCAACACCCGTGCGTCTTCCTATCCGCAGGGCCTGAGGCACAAAACCAAACAGAACCCACCGCCGAGGTCACCCGCGCCCGTCCTCGCTCGGCACGGCGGGGCCGGCGGGCAGGGAACGCTCTCGAGGCGCGGGGCTACGGCTTCGGGGCGCCGTTTCCACAGCCCACACGCGGGGTTCCCGGGCCGAGCGCGCGATCTCAGCCTGAACCGTCCCTCCGGGCGCCTCCACTGCGCCCCGGCCCG